ATTTCTGGGTCCCTTGCAAAAAGGGCAGTATGAAAGCGAACCACACCAAACAAAAAAAATCTACATTGTATTTGGTCCGAACCAAAGCAAGTGAACTAGCAGACTTTACTGGTGTGAATACACCCTCAGACTCCAGCGATAAAGACTTCAGACTTGACTCGTACTCCAGGTTAAAGACTTCAGACTTGACTCTGACTCCAAGTTAAATACTTGTGAATATCTCTGGGTTGATCTTCCTTGTCGGTGGTGTGAAACTAAGACTGTTAATTGACTTGGGTGCCACAAATAATGTGATTGATGAAGACACCTGGGAGGACCTCAAACTGAACAAAATCAAATGCAAATCATACATTCCTGAAACTGAGAGAAAGCTCTACTCGTACTCTTCAAAACAACCTCTTGCAGTCAAGGGTGTATTTATATATGATGTGAACATATCTAATAAAACAGAGCAGACTGAATTCATCGTTATAAGAGGGAAAGGAGAACCCCTCTTAGGAAGAGAAACTGCTATTAAGCTGGGAGTGTTAAAATAGGTGCTTGGATTGACACTAAATCCTAAAAAGTGCCAGTTCAACATGAGCAAACTAATATTCATGAGAATTATTTTGTCTCAGAAAGGAATTGCTGTAACAGACTGTGAACGTAGATATTCCTAGACAGAAAAAGAGGCCCTGTCGCTCGTATGGGCATGTGAGAGGTTGCATGCTTACATTTATGGAGGAGAAATCGAGCTGGTCACTGACCAGAAACCAGTCAAAGCCATATACAGTCCCCGCTCAAGACCCTGTGCCCGCATAGAACGGGCTGAGCGAACGTGGATTGACACTAAATCGTAAAAAGTGCCAGTTCAACATGAGCAAACTAATATTCATGGGAATTATTTTGTCTCAGAAAGGAAGTGCTGTATAACAGAGTGTGAACGTAGATATTCCTAGACAGAAAAAGAGGCCCTGTCGCTCGTATGGGCATGTGAGAGGTTGCATGCTTACATTTATGGAGGAGAAATCGAGCTGGTCACTGACCAGAAACCAGTCAAAGCCATATACAGTCCCCGCTCAAGACCCTGTGCCCGCATAGAACGGTGGGTCCTTCAATTACAGCCCTACAATTTCAGAATCGCTTACCTACCTGGTAAGCAGAACATTGCAGACCCTTTGTCAACATTTTTGGGGGAATCGTCAAAGACTGAGAGATGTACATAATTCGGAAGAATATGTCAGGTTTATTGCAGTGAGTGCGAAGCCTAATGCTTTGATTACCAGGGAGGTAGAGGAGGCCTCTGAGAGTGACTCAGAATTGAAAGTACATCTTGCAGTTAATAGCGGACATTTTGAGAACTGCAAAGCTTATGCTCCAATAGCCAATGAACTGTGCTGCATTGGCCATTTGGTCCTTCGCGGAACACGCATAGTGTTACCAAAAGTGTTACAACCCAGGGCACTGGCTCTGGCACATGAAGGACATTTAGGAATTGTGGGCACTAAACAACATCTCCGGTCCAAAGTGTGGTGGCCGGGTATGGATAAATTAAAGATATTTTTAGATAATTAAATTATAATTCAAGCTATCTCTAACTGGTGTTTGACTGGTCAAACATCAAATTAAAGATATCTTCAATTCATCATTTTTTAAAGATATCCAAAATACATTATTAGATATCTGAAAGTAATTTATTACTAGTCAAATTACAAGAGTAGATATCTTGAATTTTATTTTTGACTAAGCAAAACTTAATAAGAGATATATTGAACTGGAATTCTTCCTAAACTCATTTAAAGATATCTGCAATTAAATGTTGGATATCTCAGTCTGATTTTTGAATTGGAAGATCTTTCTTTGGAGATATCTGCATTTAGCTTTGTGACTAGGCCCTACCTTGGAAACGGTTGTCTTCCGCCATTGATGTTCCTGCATCTTTGGTTAATTTTAAACTGCCTTATACCCAAGTAATTAAAAATAAAAATGTAGCTGGTGCACATGTTAAAGTGACACAAGGCTTGCAGAGAACACTCAATCTACACACAATATAATAATATCATCAGTACATGTTAACACCAGTTAAACTTTTATTACCTTGTAACATTAATCTTTTTAAGACCAGCCTTCACCTTTTTTTGTCTGGGTCTGTCTTGATTCTGAAGCATTATACTTGTCCATCACTCGTTTAATTTTTTACTATTTTTCATGTTTTTGGTGTACACTTCCACTGTTCTTCACATTTCTTTTCCAAATATATAACAAATAAATTCAGACGAGCAGTTTGCGGTTTTCTTTATTGAACATTACACTCTAGTTTAGACAAACTAATCAAGCCTCTATTTTGCGGCATGATTTAAATTCACACAGCGCTACATACATGCATGTGGGAGACCTTTTACCATATGAATGTATCCAGATATTATTTTATAACCCCTGAAGTAATTCATCCAGTAGCTTTTCTCTCCGTGACAACAAAAGCAGACTACTTTTGTTAGCAGTAAGCGCTAAGCATTGGTGTGGGAGACAGGGTTGCCAGGTTTTTGCAACAAAACCCACCCAATTGCCTCTCATAAATAGCCCAAAACTAGCCCAATCGCGTTTCGAGTGGAGGTCCTCCGGTAAAAATCGCGTTCGGGGGTAAAATACATGTTTTTTGGCAGGGTCTTCCTGGTACAATTCGCATTCCAGTGTTTAAGATATTCCACGATTTAAGATATCTATGACGTCATTACAGATATCTCAAATGGAGTTTTGACTAGTCATAAAGTATTAAGAGATATCTCAAATCAGATTTCTTACTAGTCCAATTATAATTGCAGATATCTTTAATTACTACTCTGACTAGTCAAATTATAATTATGACTTGTTGAAATACAATTGTAATTATCCAAAATATATTTATTGATAATCAAACCAAAATTTTATATGCTAAAACAGCTTGCGATAGAAGGTTGCATATCTCGGGCTGCCACGTCATCAAACGTCGCTGAAGGCCATCTCAATCGGAAAGATCCTTGGAAGGCAGCCTTCATTTCGTGTGCTTTATTCAGCTGAATATGAAGGATGCATGGGATATATCCTCTGCGACCTTCAATCACCCACAATCCTTTCTACACATTCCATTTCATGAAAATAAACTGACGAAAAATGAGTCAGTACTGAGCTTGTCTGTATTTATTATAAAATGAAAGACAAATAATGTTTTCTGACATAAAAGCATAGATGTTATCTTTTGTTTTGGTGTAAATTACACACTAAATGCTGAATTGCAATAATGTAAGCCACTGGGAGACTGTAGACAGCTGTGATTCATTGTATTGCATTAATAGAAAGGCAAATAATATAAAGATTTGTAATACGAAGTATAAAATATGTGACGTAGCCACGCGCACTTACTAGACCGTCTCATAGCGTTTATTAGCGTTTATTATTCAAGCCCTTTTATAAGGAAATTGGATTTGTAGAGAAAGCAACAACAAAATGTTTGACGGGAAAGGATTTTCGTAAACAACGGATCTGTTTTTTGATGTGTTGCTGCATGGTGTTGGTAGTATCCAACTATGCATCACTTAACATTATATCACGTGGAGTTTCATCACCTGATGTACGGTTCGAATTAACAGAACAAAGCAAGCTGTATTTTTGTGGATACGGACATTATGTTTTATTTTTTAAGTTTGGACAAAACTCGTGGGGTCAATATAACAAAAAACCCCATACCAAACAAGGCATTGATATTAGTAACCACAAGTGCAAGGGTTATAAATTGCACACTTTATTTATTTTATTGTTGTTAGCGGGCGACATACACTTGAACCCTGGACCTATTGTGGACAATAACACAAGGGATATGACTTTGACGACGTTTTCAACTGTATCTACCAGGATGATCTTTTTATCTCAGGTGCGGGGGATCTCACTGGGATGGCTCCGGAGGCGAGTGCTGGTGATAATGAGGGCCTTGATCCGCATGGTTTGCTTTGGGAGAGTATAGAGGAGATGCGGAGTGTGGAAGCTGAACAGTAGCGCTCTTGGGCTACTGCATGACAGATGGAGGCGCCGGTGCGATCATTTGCTCTTAAAATACTTCGTTATTTTTGGTCATACAGATAAGAGTAATGCATCTTTTGTATCTGTATAGAGTCTACGTTTATTCGTGTGCACTCAGAATAACAACGAAACGTTGCACTTTTGTTAAATAATGAAAGCAAACAGGATGCGCTTTCTGCCGTCTCGGACTCTGTGAACTTGAGCGCGTCACTTCGAAACTCCATGTATGCTTGCCATGTATGCTTGCCATGTAATGGAGTCCAGAGTACAGTGGCAACAGTGTGGGGTGGAGTGCCCTCTGGTGAGTGTCCAGGGCACTCCAGCTGGTGATAGTGACAACTATTTTACAGATGTCCTTACAGATGTTTCTGGGTCTGGGAACATTTCAGTTGCATTGCTCTCTGTGGAGGGTCAGAGAGCTCTCGGATTTCATAAAAAAATATCTTAATTTGTGTTCTGAAGATGAACAAAGATCTTACAGGTTTAGAATCGCATGAGGGTGAGTAATTAATGACAGAATTTTCATTTTTGGGTGAACTAATCCTTAAAGGTTTGCAAGAACAAACCCACAATTCAAAGAAAAGTGCCATTGAAGATTTCAAGCTGATGTTCTGTTTTTGTTAAACAACATCAGACATGTTCTGGCAAGCTGGCATGTTCAAGCAAATTTAGGACAGTTCTATGTTGTTTCTAATATGTTTACCACATTAATATGATTCTAGCATGTTTTAACATGTTGACATGTTGTTAGCATGTTTTACCATGTTACTAATACTGCCATTTATATAAAGCTAAATAAGTTTCAGTTTTGATAACTGTATTTTGTAAGAAAAAAGGTAGCGAAGTACTTCTTTTTCTGGATTCTGTCAGATAGTTACTGTAAGTTACTTTATTTGTCTTGGGCAAGCATGGTATATTTCTAAAACTGGAAAACATTAACTTTTTTTTTTTTTGCTTCTTCTTGTCAGATGATCATCCTATGTCAGCTTCCTCAGTTTAGGATAGGAGTAAATGGATCCCACCTGCTGGATTATAGGCACAGAGTGCAGGACTTGAGCTCCATTGATCAGCTTGAAATTCTGGGTGACGTGGAACTGCAAAATGTTCAGTTGTGGTGAGATGGAAAGCAACATCAGGATCTTTAGATTTTTCCTCACTTCTCTTTCCAGTGTTCTTCACCATGCATGATTTTAAAGAACATATGGTTCTGTTATGATGTCTCAAGACAATAAATTGAAGTATGACACAGTGACTATGTTAAATTGGACATCAGTAATCTAATTATTTACCTTATTCTAAATAAGACAATATTATGATAATGGTGTTTACATGAGTGGCTTTTAGAATATTCCTTTCATGATCCCGTTTTACATGCTATAGTAAATAGATTGATTAATGGCACACATCATTAAGTCCCCACGCGACGCCATCTGATGTCCCCTCCAGAATTTCACATATAAACATAGTTTGTCTTCGTTATGGTGCCATATACAGTTTTGGGTGTTTTATTTTTAATTTTACAGAAGCTTCAAGTGCAGTTAATTTATTTGTCATGCTATATGTGCAAACAGACGATGGCATTGTTGAAGCCATGCTCTTTTGTTTGCTGTCAAACGGTTGACCACTACATGTCTATACTGCACTTCAATAATGCGACTAAAATAGGAATACTCCACATCTCAATTCGATTTGTGTTTACTTCGAGTATGACTTTAGCCGGATTAAGATAATCAAAAATCTCTGTTTACATGGTAGATTCTTAATCAGAGTATTGTCTTAATCGTGTTAAAATCGGAATATTGTTGTCCATGTAAACATACTCAGTGACAAATGCAAGTAAACTATGTAAGTTGTTAACTGTTTTTACCATCAGCCATCACTTAACATGAAGGGCTTATTTCGTTGAGAACCCACTTTTTTCTAATCCAAGTGTATCCTCTTAATGCAAAGAAAACAAGGATGACAGCTGAAAGCATTACATCAGAAGTTATTAATTTAAAAACATTTATTTGCTTGCTTGCTCTATCATTATCCAGTTATTAAGTATACTGTGACCCGTGACTGTGACCTTGAATTTTTCTTAATTTAGGTCAATTAACTTTAAATCCTCAATAATAACAGCATGATCATCTATAGGCATCACTTGGCTGTAATATGATTACTCTGATTACAGATTTCCCTAGATATCTGTGACAAGGACATGTTGGTAAAATGTTTGGAAAAATTGATGAGTACAGTGGATCATGCCAATCCTTTAACTTTAATTGTCTTATCCTTTTTTGCAATTACATTTACCCAGCTGGTTCTAAAATAATTTTTAGTGGATATTCTAAATGAAGTCAAGTTCATAGGTGTAGTTCATCACATTAGTAAATTACTTATCTTTAGTAAATGTATGACAAAAAAGTATCCAAATATTTCCATTGGATTTGGAGTTTTTATTTTGTTTAGTTTATCTATTGTTTTACCATTTAAAATCTAACAGGCGCCTTTGTGAAATGTTTGGATTGAAAAGTGTAATGAAATGACATTCATGCAATAAATGTGGCTTAAATTCTACCAAATATTTATTGTATGATTCTTGTATGATTGTATGATTATTGTATGATTTCTGGGTGCACAAAGCAGCACTATTGAGTAACAAAGCTGTATATACTTTACAAAATGACTGCTTTAAACACACTCAAAAAAGTGTTTCGGTCTAAATTTACATTTTATGTAATTCAATTGCATAACAATTTTCCATCCATTTAGATTACGTAGTTTTAACATAAAGTAATAAACTTAATGTGATTCATATGCGTCAGTCATATGTGAATGAAACAGATAAGTTTTATGTAATAGTTCACAGCAAAGTCACCACACTGCTCAGTGTTCATGTGTTTCCACACTACAGAGTGTTAAAGTCGCATTGAAGCAGTGTTAGGGTGTACTCAAACTAGACGTTATGAACCGTGCCCGAGCGCGTTTGACCCCCAAAGCCCGGTTCGTTTGGCTAGTGTGAGCGCTCTGCTTCAGTTGGGCTCGGGCGCGGTACGCATGCAGTGTGAGCACTAACTGTGCCGGAGCACGGAACAGATACTATTTTGTGTGCACTACTGTCATCATTACGACCGCAAACATATTCTATTACTACTACTACACTACACTTTTCAATTAATTTAATTTAATCAAGTATATTTAGGTTTATAATGGCTCGGGTTCTCACCTTATTGATCAACAGGAAATGTAGTTTGCGAATAAAGGGATATTCGCGCTTGGGCTCGGTTCAAAGCAACCGTGCCTAGTACACCTTTAGAGTTAAGGAGATAATTATGTGATGATTGACCATTAATGATGAACATCTGCTGTTAACAGAATCACAGAAGGAAAGAGAAACACAAGAACTACAACTGACTTCAGCCACAGATGAAGATTAAATCAACTGAAATAAAAGAAGACATTAAATCTCTCGAGATCTCAGCAGAAGAGGATTAAACACACAACAACAACCCCAGCTTCACTCATTACTAACCAGACTGACTTTATTTCTGTCAGACTTGTAGAGAAGCTCTTATTGAGAATTAACAGAGGTTTAGATGTTTTGTTTAGTTTGAAATCACCATCAAGGAGATCAGTGTTTTCTTTTGTTGGGTTCTTGACCCTTAACATTTTCACATGAGTTTTTTCTCTGATTGCTAAGACTGTATAAAACACATTTAGTATGATCAGAAAAGCCCAGAGAAACTTGTGACTGTGGTGCGATGATGAAGTCACCATATACATAGCCATGTAGCATAAACTGTAATTATATGGCTGTTCTGTTATTAAATTTGTATTACTCATTTTAGTATTTTCGTAATTCTATAGCACGAGATCCAGCAGTGTTGTGTCAATGAGATAACATGAAGAATTTTACCAACACTTTATGCACAGGAAGTTTCTATCTACAGCATCAGCATACAACATACACACAGACATCAAGAATCAGTGTATGAATCTCAACAATGGTGACAAACAATAAAATATTCAGATAAAACTCTGAACATCACAAAACAAGCTACTAAAAGTCAACAAAAACAGCAAAAGTAAAAGCAAATAGTATGAATAAAAGAAAATAATCAGACAATTCAGATGCATTGTTTATTCATGCTGCAATGCATGCTGGGATACATGGGTGCGTCTTGTACTATGCTGGTACCCAGCATGCATTGCAACATGAAGCATTTTGTTGACTTTCACCATTGTTGAGATTCATATACTGATTCTTGATGTCTGTGGTCCTTGTATTGTTGCAGAAAAAACTGCAAAACTTCTTGTGCACAAAGTCTTTTGTAAATGCTTCGTGTTATCTGATTTTTACAACATGGCTTGATCTGAAGCTATAAATAATAAATTATGCTAAAGCAATACAACATACATATAATCAGAAATTTGACTTCAAATAAGATGGATCATCTGCAAACAACATTTTTTGTTATTGGTGTTGTTGGTTTTGCTGGCTAAGCTAAATGTGTTTTATAAACACACCGTCTTAACAATCAGAGAAAAAACTAATGTGAAAATGTCAAGGGTCAAGAACCCAACAAAAGAAAACACTGATCTCCTTGATGGTGATTTTAAATGAAACAAAACATCTAAACCTCTGTTAATTCTCAATAAGAGCTTCTCTAGAAGTCTGACAGAAATAAAGTCAGTCTGGTTAGTAATGAGTGAAGCTGGAGTTGTTGTAATATTAATAATAATAATAATTGTGTGTTTAATCCTCTTCTGCTGAGATCTTGAGAGATTTAAAGTATTTTATTTCATTTGATTTCATCTTCATTTGTGGCTGAAGTCAGTTGTAGTTCTTGTGTTTCTCTTTCCTTCGGTGATTCTGTTAACAGCAGGTGTTCATCATTAATGGTCAATCATCACATAATTATCTCCTTAACTCACTGCTTCAATGCTACTTTAACTCTGTAGTGTGGAAACACATGAACACTGAGCAGTTGGGGACTTTGCTGTGAACTATTACATAAATCTTACCTGTTTCATTCACATATGACTGACGCATATGAATCACATTAAGTTTATTAATTTGTTTATGTTAAAACTATGTAATCTAAAAGGATGGAAAATTGTTATGCAATTGAATTACATAAAATGTAAATTTAGACCGAAACATTTTTTTAAGTGTAGGCCTATTGCACAAATTGCATGTGAGATTATTTTCATGTGAGATGATAAATATTCAAGACAGCTATAGTTGTTATTAGCAATGCATTAAATATTTGTTATGATACAAGATTTATTGGAATTTTTTATTTATTTTTTGGTTATAGGAACCAGAAACCTATAGTAATCAGAAGAACTTGACTGACATCAACAAGCGAAACAGCAGGAAGTTCTCCTTAGTAAGAAATCATTCCTGTAACACAAATAGTAGCATGACACTAGCAATTCAATGGTCAGGGGTTTGTTTTGCCAGGGAATCTATGGACTGTTAAAATATATACCTTAAATGCAATGAATGTTGCTGCCAAATACGTAAATGTAAAGCCAGAAGGCTCATCAAGCAGCCGGCGCAACCTACAGTAGGAACTAAAGAAAATTATTTCAAAGAACAAATCACTAGTTGACAACAGTTGCAATGATTTGATATTTTGTTGGATTGTGCAAGACAAAATAACAAGTTTTATGGTAACTAAAGACATTTGATCATTTTCAGCATAGACGTTAAGTGTGATGAATGTGAAAGCCCCCTAAAATATTTCTGATACTTTTGCTGTAATAATACAGCTGCTCAATTTTACACTTTATTTACAGAAAGTAGGAGCAGCAATGTATTAAAATAATTAAGTATCATAATTAAAAATAGTTAAAATGATTAAATTCCATAATTACAGTAGTTAATTTTTTGTATTTTTCTACAACTCACATAGACAAGCTCAGCACTTTAGCTGCATTCACGTCATGTCACATTTATCGTTATTACAAGATTCCGACTTGTAAAAAGCATTCATGTCCTCATCCACGTCCTTTTTCCGAGGCTTCTGCACAGCTCATGTCTGATCGCTTCTTAAGGCTGGCCACACACTAGACGATTTTAAAGGGGTCATATGATGAGATTTAAATTTTTCCTTTCTCTTTGGAGTGTTACAAGCTCTTGGTGCATAAAGAAGATCTGTAAAGTTGCAAAGACTAAAGTCTCAAATCCAAAGAGATATTCTTTATAAAAGTTAAGAGTCAGCCACACCTACCTAAAATGGCTCGTTCTAACACGCCCCCACATATCTACGTCGCTATGTGGGAAGATTTGCATAACGCCGCCCAAATGTTCACGCAAAGAAAGAAGGCGTGACTTTTATTCTCGCTGTAGTTTTGTTGTTTCCGCCGCCATGTCGTGAAGACACGGTGTGCTTCGTTGTGAAAGCGAAACTACTTTGTTTGTTCTTCCAA